TTCATCCAATGAATTATTTTGTGCCAATCCCCATCTAATTAAAAGCTCCCAAATTTCAATCTCGATCAAGTTAAAATCGTCACGTTTTAAGATAACTTCCAATAAATGATCCGGTAAATTAATAAAATCATCAGAGTTGTTTAAAATTTCAGGTTGATGACAAATGGTTTCTAAACAAAACTCTCGTAGATTATTAAAGGATTGATGTTCATGAACAATTTTGAGAATTCCGACTGGTTCTTTTCGAAAGAGTTGTTGATGATTTTCAATGATAGAATTTTCAACAAGTTTCGTTAATTGGTACATGTTGAATTCATCAGTAGCAACCATAATGTTTAAAAGCTCCATTTCAGCAATATTATTTTTGAAATCAAAGTGACCAGTATAAAGATACCTTGACATGATCAAAAACGTGTAAAGAATAAAAATATAAACATTTTATATAACAAGGGATTTTTTGTTTCGTCAATGCAAATTACTTACTTGAGAATGACGTCAACTGCTTGAGGCGTAAGATTTGGTTTCTTTAGTATGTACTTTCCATCCTTTTTCTCGATATCTTCAGTTGAAAATAATTCATTAAAGTATTCAGATCTACAACATAGCACGTTGGAATGCGCATGAACTTCCTTAAAATTTGGTTCATTTCCAACATAGATGATAACATTGTAATCCTTTTCTGTTTGGAGTAACTTTTCAAATGCTTTGGATAATTCAAATTCAAAGTTATATGACATGTCTATTGATTTATTTTTTTTCTAATAAATGAATGGATGCGAGACGAAAAGAAAACGCGCGAGCAGTCTCAAATATTTCTTTTTTTTATGTATGTTTTTCCAAAAAAACAAACTCCTTCCCTTTAAGCAAAATATTGATTTCGGAAAGGTTTTCTCATTACAATTTGGAGAGCTTAATTTCAGGCAGTTGTTATATCTGTTATACTTTTGTCGATCATTTACTTTTTTTAGGGTTGATTTTAATTAGTGCAAATGAATTTAGTCTAATCGAAAAAGTAAATTCATGTTTTTTTTGTTCAAAAACAAAAAAATCTTTTTCTGGATATTTATGGTGCGAAAAATTTTTGATGGGCTGTTAAAGACGCTCAAAAAAAATTTTTTTTTTATTTAATAGATTGACATACACGCGTATTATAGTACTGCAATTTTGACAAAGCAGATCAGATCATTTTATGATCTTTTATATCAGAATGGATAATTTTTTTTTAATTGACTAAAAAGATTTTTGTTTGAATAATATGAAAAATGAATTAATACTAAATCTGAACATGTTGAAAAACATACTTAACATGATAGTAAATTACAAATCGACAAACTTAATTTTGTAGAAAATGTTTGGTCCCCTTTAAATTGTCAAAGAGCCCACATCAATATAGATATTGTATGAACCTAAATAATTATTTGAAATTTAGGACTGGCCGAAATTGACAAATTTCGCCTGTAATAACTCAATAAATTCGACTAGAATTAAGATTTTCATTTAATCATGTTTTGAAAATTTGATTAAATTATTTTGTCATGGGTTTCAAATAGAGAATTAAAATATTTTAAAAAAGTATTTTCGAGCGAATCATAATTCGGAATATTCCAATCAATATCATGCATGTGTAACTTTTGATGGATGCACAAGGTGATTTTTCTAAACAAAATTAAACTTTTTTGCCATATGATTTCCATATATGGATTGAAAATTATTTGTTATTTCGAGAATGACAAATACCAATTAAAGTGTTCATAGATTATTACGCGAGTCGAAGTTTATATCAGCAACGTTCTATTTATCATATTAAAATAATGTCGTATTTAGTAAATAAATTCACTTAATATATTCAACGAGAGATCCATTAATAATTCAGATATTCAGTACTGAATCCATTTATTACGGCACAATAGTAGTCTTCAATAGCGCGTCATACGAAATATAATTTCATCACGTTTCAATGAAGTTGCCTTTGTTTTTTCTTGCAATCCAAATATTGAAATCTCTATTTCGAATAATTTGTTTACAATGTGGTGATCAGAAATTTCCTGTACATTTGGATATATTAATTTTTAAGTATTTCTGTCCTCGTGGTTAAACAATAAAATTGGTGAGACCGTCAAATCCCAAAGCATTCCTGTTGTGACTACACGTGACGTATATTACGCGTGATTTCGAGAAAATAGTATTTGTGGTTTTTTTATCACAAAATTAAAAATAAAAAAAAATGATTATCGTTCGTACGAACAATTTCTCTAAACAAAAAAAAAAATTATTTAAAATTAGAAATAAAAATAAACAAAGGGTTTTGTACCCCGCACATTCTTTTTTTTTTTTTTCCTCTCAAAGTTTTATGTGGTGCATTAAATTATAAATTTATGCATGTGAATACTTACTGACTGGTATGTTACAAGATATACACTTTAATAACTTTGAAACAATTTGAGCATTATCGTTTGAACTTAAAATCAACATATGAAAATATCAACATTTTGAATGGTTTATTTTCATGGGTGAAAATGTAAATTCTAACTTTGGTTTCCATCGATTACATGAACTCATGAAACTCATGACCTCCTCCCTGAAAATAAATAATCCGGGTTTGTGACACCTCTTGAATGAGGTGTTGCGGTTCTTTCCTTCCCTATACGTACTGTACATTACACCATCTTTTTGCAAAATATCAATTAATATAAATTAAAATCAAAAAATTTTTTTTAATCATTTCATCTCATTGGGTGTTAGATAAAATGCATGTTCTGAAGCAAATCTAAAATTCCTTTAATCTGTTTCAAGAACCACATAACAATATTCAACATTGTTACATGGATTGAAAGAGAAAGATTTTATAAATTTGACGTAAATACAACAAACAGTTGCTGCCCCAGACTTGCATATGCATGTGCAGTATATGTATCCCCAGGGTTTAAAATTAATAAAGTACAAATTTGGTACACCAGTACAATATTTAATTAGTTCAAAAGTACTTACAATACTTTTCAACCTTGCATATGGAATTCGGTCCATATGGAGAGGAACATTCCTTTCCATCGTGAATCCTTAAAGGATAGATCCGCTGATCGTTGATAAAAATTTTTTTAATTGTAAAACTTTTGCCATTTTTATTTTTCAGAATACGCCAAGAGAATTTGTAAGCCTGAACATAATTGGATTTCCGTGTTTGATACAATCCTTTAAAGATTTATATGTCCATAAAAAAAAAAAAAAAAAAAAAGAAAAAAATCGCACAAGTAATTTTGTTATGATAAATGCTGTGAATTTATTATTTTATTATGAATGCTAATATGTATGTCATCATGTGATGAATATGTCGTGATTGATAAAGTTAAATATGATAAGCATTATTTATACAAATCTCTTTTTTTTTTACGAATTAATGTCACACAAGTTAATCAAAAATGCAAATCATGAACGAAACCTAATTAGGAATAAATATATATGTACATGCATTAAATTAAGATTCAATAATCTATACTTTTGGTAACTTGAAACACTTCATAATCATCCACAATAAACCGTTCAGGCATATCTATTGTAGGATAAGCGTCTCTTGATTCGCACGTCCAAGAATCGTAATTATTGAAAATCAAATTACCGAACGTGGGACCGACCGATGGAAAACATCCTATCGAACATTGATCATTATTGCTATAACCAACTTTTGCGGTTTTAAAGTCTTTTTTACTCTTGAAGGAAAATATGAAACTATCTTTGGTCGATTTCCATCGATTACTTGAATCCCATTGTAATGGGTTATACCCTCCCAACAAATGGTTCGAATTTAAAACCGTTGATACCAATATGGTGGCGCCTTTGTTATCGCACTTCGAGTGAAATGCTGCGGTCGTCCTTCCGTCCCTACTAGCACGATAAAGTAATTTGAAATGATATGATACGTCAGAATTCGCATTCCCATCGATCCACTTTGCGAATAGTCTAAAATAATACTTGTTGATGATTCGACTCGAATCAAACTTTGGCCATTTGGATGGTAATAAGTTATTGATCTTTGTCACGTTGGAAACCAAATAAAATTGCATGATTTCATTATTCAAATTTTCCGGTAATAATTTTTCATATGGGAAAATACTTTCATAATAATTATTCGAAGAGACGTCTTGAAATCGAATCAACGGAATAAACCCGTGAATGGTTTGCTTCATCATCTCAACGTTCTCCTTGGTCCATCTTGAAGGATTATGATTAACGTTTGGATTTTGAGCGTGAGTCCATTTTATCAAAAGGTTCCATATATCGATCTCATCTAAAATGAAATCATCTTGTTTAAGGATGATTTCAAGAGCCCGTGATGATAACATTAAGTAGGAATCCTTTTTAAATAAAAGGGATGGGACGTGACATATTATTTTTAGACAGAAATTTTGCAATGGTTTTAGACTTTCATGTTTAGTTGTAAGTTCAAGAACTTCAAATAAATAATTTTTAATGAATTTCTTTTGATGGACGATCAATATTTCTTGGATATATTCTACCAGCGGATCAAGATTAAATTCACTCGCTATTATTAATAAGTTAAAAATGTTTAATCCGAGTTCTGCTTTTAATTCGATCTTCCCGCAATACAAATATCTAAAAAATAAAAAGTTGTTAATTTTTTTTGATCCCGGTCGATTGCTTGGAAATCGAAAAGAAAAATAGTTACCTGATTATCTTGTTTAAAATTTGGAATGGTACATCAGGTTTGTTGATAATGTATATACCATCTCTCATTTCAAATGAATCGTTTAAGTATGCGTCTTGAAAATAAGCTGATTGACAACAAAGAATAATGGAGTGAGCGTAAATTTCTTGAACGTTCGGCTCCTCTCCCGCGTAGATGATGGTATCATAATTTCTCTTTGTATCGAATAAACTTTCAAAGTTTTTCACAAGTTGGGGAAAAAATTTTATTTGCATGTTTAAAAAAAAAAAAAATTTTTTTTTTTGCTCAATTTTTTTTTTTTTTGACGATTTCTTATATTATGGAGACAAAATTTTTCGAAATTGGAAATCTCGGTCTCGGAAATATTTCCGAAGAGTGTATTTTTATATTTTTAGAACAAAGAAATAGATAATCCCTTTTATAGACGATTTATTTTTTTTTTCATTCTATTATTGGTTAAAATAAGTAAACCCAACGAACTCCAGATAAACTTTTCAATCCTAGTATGAATTAATGAACTTTCCAGGTTTAGCAAGGAGGAACCTTATTTGGTCATGCCTATAAATCATATATAATTTTTTTTTTCATTTTTCTTTTACGGAATAGATGGATGCTTTACCTCTAATCATTCTATAATCATTCTTATTTTAATTTAATTTTTTTTTTTTTTGTATTCTCAACAAAAACCAATCGCTAACGATCCATCCATTTTAATAATCAACAAATTGTTTTGAGGTTTCACACCTTCCACCATTTTATAATCAGATCATTGTTGTAATAAAGACCATATGATCAACTGTTTATATCCAAATAAATTTTTTTTTACCATAATATTAATGAAATGAAATGAAAATAAATAATAATAAATTAATAATACATATTTCATAGATTAAACATCTATAGTAACTTAACCAATTATAGACAACACCTTCTTTGGTTAGCCTCCAAATCAAGTTTACTAAATTCTGCAAGGCAGCGAAAATGCTTTTGTGGCTAAGACTATAACATATGGAGTTAAACATCTTCCGTCACATAAGGTAATGCCAAGAAAGCGTTGTGATGGTTATTTGATATCATCGTTACTTGTTTACAATCAGTTCGAGATCGTCTCCAATAATTATCTATCACATGGATTTGATGATAGTACGTAGTTTATCGTCATTTGAATTTGATCGTCTTTGTTCACGCCAATTAAAATTAAAATGATTAAAATAATGTTTAACATCGCCGTATTTATTTACTCGTATATACGGAATCAATAATTTTCATAAACTTTTTATATTGTAAGCACGAAGCCTTGTCATTAAAATAAAACAATGATTTCATTCGTTTAATTAAGATCAAAGGAATTACATTAGAATCGTGAAAAGACGACCTTTACTTAACCTACTGAAAAGCAATATAATATACGACATATCGAATGAATGTCGCCCGTCAAAGCATTAGATTTGATATAAAAAAAAATAAATAAAGATGAAAAGATATTTATTTTTAATAGATCAATTTTTGCTTACTATCATGTAATAACTAACTGTAAATTGACTCCGAATAATAAAATACTTCGAATAACACTAGTACAACAAGGATTATTTTTTTTTTTTTGCGCTCGTATTTCATGTGCATGTGATTGTTGATCGTCATATTAAACGGTTGTACAAAAAAACAAAAAAAAAAAACAAAATGTCATACAACTTTGAATCAGAAGTATCCCAAGCGCTCGGACAATTACTCATATCAGAAACGGATTATAATGTAATCATTCATATCGGATACGAACCAGATTATAAGGAGTTTCACGCGCACTCCACTATTCTACGTTGTAGATCCAAACACTTTGGTGAACTACTTTCTGAAGAAAACGAAAGGAATGGAAAATATTTAATCAAGTTACCAAATATTACGCCTCATTCTTTTGATGTTATCCTAAAGTAAGTACCGTAATTCTTGTGAAAATATGAAGTGGTTTATCTTTTAACCTTAACGTGCTTTTATTATGTCAAGGTATCTTTATACTGGACACCTCAATATCGTTAATCATACCGGAACCGAGCTTTTAGACGTTATGTTTGCTTCCGACGAGTTCAACATGAACAGATTGTCTCAACTTTTAGAAAGATTTATCATTGAAAATCATTATCAATTCTTACGAAAGGATCCAATCGGAATCCTCAAGGTGGTTCATGATCATCAAGCCTTTAATAAATTGCAAGAAGTTTGCTTGGAAGCCATTTGTCATAAACCTGAAATTCTGTTCAACTCTGATAATTTTATCAAATTACCCGCTCCTTTATGGGAAGTTATCTTAAGACGTGATGATTTAAACTTGGTTGAAATCGAAGTTTGGGAAAATTTGATTAAATGGGGACTTGCACAAAACGATGCGATTGATCAAGATATCTCTAGGTGGGATCAAGAAGATTTTCATTCCTTTGCAGTGATTCTTGATAAATTCATTCCCTTTATTAGATTTTATGAAATATCTTCAGAAGATTACGTTTACAAGGTTAAACCTTATGAAGAAATGTTATCCAAGGAATTAAGAGAAGATTTATTAAAATTTTACATGATACCTGGACACAAACCAATGTTTAACACGCACACGCCCAGACATTTAAAAAACTTTTCCGATTCTGTCATAATTAATCAAAATCATTTTGCAATTCTCGCACGTTGGATTGATCGAACAAAACGTAATAATGTCAAGACGATTCCTTATAGGTTTAAACTTCTTTATCGTGCTAGTAGGGATGGTATGACATCTACGGCATTTCATGAACGTTGTGATGATAAAGGGGCTACCATAGTCGTCGCAAAAATTAAAGATTCAAAGAAATTATTGGGAGGATACAACCCTCTTGAATGGGATTCACATAATCAATGGAAGTCCACGAAAGATAGTTTTGTTTTCTCATTTGATAATGGTACGAAACTTAAAACCGCAAAAGTGGGTTACAGCGTTGGAGATCAAAATTCCATAGGTTGTTTTTCAAGCCATCATCCTATATTTGGTTTTTGTACACTTAAGGCCGAACCCATTTTCGGTGATGGATATGATCTCGTTATTAACAATGATGGTATCGGAACTAGGGCAAGCAAGGTTCTTCCCGACAATGAAATTGAAGGGTCGGGTTTTAAAGTGGATGATTATGAAGTGTTTCAAGTCGTAAAGATCGCTTTAGGAAATGATGTAGGAAAGGATTTAAAGCGTGTTAAAAGAAATTCTATCTCTTCCAAATTTTTTGGAAAAGGATAAGAATTATCATGTATTATTTAAAACTTGTGATTTCGTTATTTTATGCACATACATTTGTTTTATATATTATTGTAAAGAAGAATATTGTTCAACTTAATAAATATTAAAGTACAAATTAGTTAATAGTCGCATTTTTTTTTATAGGTTTACCATCAATAACTCTGTCAACCCATATTGTCTACGTGCTTTTATGAATGTAATATTTACTTATTAAACTTTAAGAATTTATGCGTAAAACAAAAGTTCAATATGAAATATAATAATTATACTGTACCTTTGTCCGCCTCATTTTCTGATTGCACAATCACCTTAAGAATTTGTGTGCATCCGGTGAATTTCCAAAACTATCTTCTAATTAACATTTAAAAATTTTAGACTTGCCCTATGAAAAATTCCGTATAAAATTTAATGCAGAAAGGTGCCAGAAATTTAGAACACTTTGCTACAAAATCTATACTAGTACAAAACTTAATTTATAATAATAGATAGTATTTTGCTCTGAACGCTTTAAATATAAATTATTTATTATTTACAATTTTACAAATAATTAATTTGCTTATTTTTTCCCATTATCAGAAATAACCATATGAGTTTTGTATACAATTTTTTTTATATATCAAAATTTAGATTATTTTTCCGTAGTTAAAAATTTCGGTACAATGAAAATTGACAAAAAACTGTACGATTTTTTTCATAGGGTTGTGAGTTTAAAAAACAAACTAGCTTATAACAATTTTTATTTGGAAAGCATTATAATCAAGATGAAGATAGCCCCCTAAATAATTGCGCGATAATACATTAGTAGAACTCAAAAAAATATAATTGAATTAATTTTCACACTTGATTCACCTTGAAAGTTATAGGAATCTTATGTTAGTTAAGGCAATTTGAATTTTATTTCTCCAATAAATTCTTTCACAAATTGACCCTTCGCGAAATTTAATATTTTTAAATCCAACAAAGGAGTAAGGGTGGGTATGGTCTTGCAGATTGGCACGTTTCGCGAAATTTGAATTGTACCGATTTTTACGATTCTTTCGTACGTTTTATATTTATTTAATTTTATGGCTTTCTTCAAGAAATTTCTTTGACATTTTATTTTTTGATGATATGATATGTTTTTACATTTAGGACCAGACCATTACGGTAAGATTCAAATTTCGTCGATCTGCAAGATCACACCGAAAACGTGCCGGGCGGTTAGTTTGCCTGTCAACGGGAAGCATTATGATCAAATGTTACCACACTAAATTACAAATGTCTTTTACAGAAGTGAGACATTGACTCACGATTCGCACGCTTAAGGAAATTTTCAAATTGCGAAGTATTTAGAGTATAAAGCGAAAAAGGAACGTAATATTGCAATATATAGCTTTGTACTTAAATCATTGTAGTGGATTTTCGTTGTAAACGTGTGGCATTTCAATTGATTCAAATCGTCCTGTGAAAATAAAGAAAGTGAAGAAATAAATGTTATTGAACACAATGTAATTTCCTTGCGACCTTAATAAAAAGACCTTTCCTCCTCTCACAATAGCAAAAAGAATTGTCGATATATTTTATAAACTATACACTTCGATTTGAATTTCGTAGTTGTTCTTTAACAGCCTCTCTCCACAACGTAATTTATATATGTTTATTGGTGGTAAAGGGACTAAAATCGTGATCGAAGTTCCACAATAATTTAGGCACGGAACCGCTCATAAATTATCTAATTATAAAATGAATCCCTTTTTTAAAATTTTGATTGGCTACTGATTAAACAATCGGTATGGTCTGGATTATTATTGTTTATACAGATATGTGTCGTACAATAAATCTGATTTGGTCGGAATCGGTCCATTTAGTTTCATTCAAATCATTCTTTTAAGCTTTTTATATTTATATATTTTTTATATTTATTTCTTTGAAAATGTATTCCGAATCTTCTAAAGAAATTATTAACGAGTATGAAAAACTACTTGAAACAGAAGAAGGATATGATGTTATCATCTATGCCGGTGAAAACGAAGAGTTACAAGAAATTCATGCACATTCACTTATTTTACGCACAAGGTCGCAATATTTTCGTGCGGCATTTTCTAATGAATGGTCCGAGAAAAGGGATGGAAAATTCATTTTAAAAAAACCTAATATTTCACCCTTATTATTTAAAATTATTGTAAGGTAATGAGTAAATAATAATAATGATAATAAATAAATAAATGGCGTAATATTTACTATTATTGACTTTATTTTTTCCTAGATTCATCTACTGTGGGAAGATTGATTTGACGAACCTACAAGGTTTTGATGTAATAAAGCTATCAATCGCTGTAGATGAACTTAACATCCAGTATTTAATCAATTGCGTTCAAGAATATCTCATTAAACATCGAGACAACTTTCTACAACAGAATCCTATTGGTATTCTTGAAGCATTTCATCAATATGAAATATTTACAGACTCATTCAATTATTGTTTTGAAAAAGCTTGTAAAGATCCGACACTAATATTTAATTCCGATAAATTTATCAGTTTAAAAGAGGCATTATTAGAATTACTTTTAAAACGAGATTTAGATATAGCTGAAATTACTATTTGGGATCATTTAATAAAATGGGGTTTGGCCCAGCACACTACTATTTCACAAGACGTCACTCAATGGAGCAAAGAGGATGTTGTAACTATGAAAAGTATTCTTCATAGATTCGTTCCTTTAATTAGATTTTTTAATATGTCATCAAATGATTTTATCGTTAAAGTATATCCTTTTAAAAAATTACTGCCAAAAGATATGATTTCTAACATACTTATATTCCACATGGCACCAAATCAAGAATTAAACGTTGATATCCCAGCCCCCAGAAAAAAGCCGATTTACGATTCAATATTAGTTGAACATCAACATTTTTCTATGTTTTCCAGTTGGATCGATAAGAAAAATTATGCGCATAGTAATGCACGTAATGTGCCTTATAAATTTAATTTACTTTATCGTGCCAGTAGGGATGGCAATACAGCTGCAGTGTTTCATCAAAAGTGTGATAACAAAGAGGCTACTATAGTTATAGCAAAATTTAAAAATTCAGAACAAATTATTGGAGGATATAACCCACTTTATTGGGATCAAAGTGGTGCTTATAAGTTAACTTATGATAGTTTTATATTCTCATTCGCAAATAGAACAAACCTTCAAACTGCAAAAGTAGGTTATATCATAGATAATCATGCTCAATATGCTATATATTGTCATCCAAGTAACGGTCCAACATTTGGTGGTGGTTGTGATATTAATTATTATAATAATACATGGTATAGCTACAACCACCCACATACTTATTCTCAAATTGATATTCCAAACGGTCAATTTCAAATCGATGATTATGAGGTATTTCAAGTTATTAAAAGATAAATACATAAAATATTCTAAAAAATTATTTTAACTTTTTAATTCAATAATAAATATATAAATATTGTGAATTTTAATTTATAAAATTTTTATTCTTACATTTATATAATGTAAAATTCCTAAAACTATGAATGTAAATGTTATTTCATAATTGATTTTTGCATAAGAATTTGGAGAATTTTAGCAGAATATCTGCTGTGGTCAAAGAATTAACATTAAAAAGTTGATATTGAAATTTGATTTCTAAATAAACTTTTTCAAAATTTGTAAAAGTCTTCATTTGTATAGCATTCAAATATCAATAAAATGACCAAAACTTTCATTCGTCACCAAAAAACTTATCTTCGAGAACATCTCATTGGAATACACGCGTAAATCTTTATTTATTTTCGTTCATTGTAATAGTTTAAAAACAAAATGGAATAAAGTACGTCATGCACGATAGTATATAAAAAAGAAAATAATAATTCTTTCGTTCCATCTCAAGAAGTCTTTAACGATTATGAAAAACTGCTTGTAACTGAAGAAAGAATATGATTTTGTTATTTACAGCTGGCGGAAATGAAGGATCGGAAGAAATTCATGCACAACAACAAGTACTCGACATTCTCGAAGGAATGGAATGAAAAAATTTTTCTATAAAATACCTAATATTTCCCTTAAAGTATTTAAAAACATCCAAGGTAATCAAATAAATATAAAAGAATGTAACTACCGCGGTATCTATAATAATTATGCTTTTGATTCATTTATTGATTTGACGAAATTACATGAACTTAATAGTTAGAACCCTTGACTGCCGTGGACGAACTTAACATTTAAATTTTAATTAATCTACAACAGCACCCAATAATTTTTGAACGGATATTTATTGAATTGCAATTCAGATTATGATTTAATTTTTATATTAAGGTGTTTGGTGACTCCAAATAAAAATTTACTGTTGATGTTTTCATATTGCTAAATTTTGTGAAATAAATTATTACTAACAAATTTTCTGCGCAGGTTCTTTAAATTTATAATTGGCAAAAAAAAAAAAATAAATTTAGCTAATACTAATTAATCTATAGCCAAATAATTTTTTTTTTAAAAAAAGGTGATTGTATTGCGACACCCAAAAATTTTCACGAGAAAGTTACCAATCATGTCCTCAAAAACGAAATTACTATTTAAAATTGCTAGAAGTTCACATTTTTATCGATATTGTTAAGTACCAATCTTATTAAAAGTTGGTGAAAAATCCAAATCATGTGCACAATAATCCGCAGCATGTAATTCCGCTTTGATATCTATCATATAAATTAAAAAAAACCGTAAACTTGATTTGTCTAAAGTTACAACAGTTCATATAATGTATATATATAATATATTTGATAAGTTATTTTGATAAAAAATAATTATTTAGAAAGTCGATATGAATGAAAAGGATAATTGGTGCTTTAGCGACATTAGATTATTTTAAAAAAATA